CCACACTCTCAAGATATGAAACGAAGATTTTTATTGTCGATAGATGAGAATTGTGATTATGATAATGTCAAAGAAGTAATTTTTAATGCATCAAGTGCAGATAATTTATATATTATTTCGATTAATATATCAGAAGGAATGTTTTCTTCGAAATTTCCAAATGGTAAATCTGTACGATTGCTAACAGGTCACAAATAATTGAATCCAATATCAGTATATATTCATCACGAGGAAGATCCGTAAATATAACTCAAGTAGTTCAATGAGAAATTGATATCACATCATCTTTCTCTAAAAGATAAAAATATATTTATCTATTATAAAAGTTTCTTTTTAATGTATTTATATGAAGGAATTGAATAAACATCATCGAAAGAATTCATTTCAATTTCGAATATCCATTTGCATTCAAACTAAATTAAGGAATTAAATTGATCAAGAGGTTAAAAATCTATCAGATATTCAGATTCGGGGTCGATTTGTTGATGATATTCTAAATAAAATTCTTCTACTTCAGGCAAATAATCTGAAATTAATCTTTCTCTTCGATCATCATCAAGACAATCTTTATCGTGAAAGAAAGTAATAAGACGTAAAACTTTCAAATTACATTTCATTTCTATAATGAACATCTCAAATTCATCAAATTTAAACAAAAAAGTTCAAGTGTATAAGATATTAAAGTACAATTATGATTAATAACAAAATATTCAATAGTATGGAATTATTCATCGATAGCAATTGTCAATAGAACAGATGTGAAGAATCCATCTGCTGAACATCTAACATATTTCAATTTAGGTAAAGCAAAAATTAGTTGATAAACTTCACTTAACGCCCATTCCATAGCGATTGTTAATGAGAAAAAAAACGAGGTAAAGAAGATAAATTAGTTAGTAATGAAATAAGCAAGTTACATTTGGTGAAATTTCAATAATAACAAACGACGAGCAAAATTCATTTTTCTGTAATGGTAACTATATATGAAATAAAACTATTTGATGTTATTATTAAGTAAAAGTTGTTTGTAAATATTCTTATATAGTCCATTAGTTGTTGAAATTGATGATTAAGATTTGAAAATATTTTAAATATTTTACAAGCATCAAGATATTCAAATACCTCATAGATAGACTCATTCGATAAAATTTTAATCTAACTTATCGACATATTAAAAATGAATACAAATATCTGATTTAGAAGGAAGAATGAAATCTGATAATGAACATTTGAGTATGAAGTTCTAAAAGTTTTTATTAAACAATTTCAAACAAGAGTAGTTACAACACATGATCTACTAATTATTTCCATTGTAAATAAATTGTATCCATAACATGTTTAATCGTAAAATCAAAACGTAAATTTTTATCATCAATCATTTTTTCTAATTTTTCAATCATTTCATCATGTGCTTCTGGAATAGAAAAACATAATAATCGAAGTAAAGAATTTGATACATTCTTAATTTCTGTCAAAATAAGTCCTGTTAATAATTGAGCATGCATATAATTAATACATTTGATTTGAAGATGATTAATACGAGAACAAATTAAAGTTAACATATAAACTTCATTCATGTTTTTCATATGATCAAAACAAATTTTTTTAATTTGATTTTTAGGTAATAGAATACAAAGAAATTCGATTTCATCATCTGATAAATCTCCTTGTTGTAAAACTGATAAAGAATAAATTTTTAATGTAGTAACTCCAGGTAATAAACGTAAAATTTCCATTAATTTATCGGTAAAGATTTTTGCATAAATTTCTAAATGATAAATTTGTGTTAGAGCTAAAGCATGATTAATATAATCATTTATGAATATCGTCTTCGTCCATTGTTCAGGACATACTTCATCTAGACTAAGTCGAATAGATTTAGATAATTGATCAGAAGTATTAATCATCTTATGTTCTGTATCATATTCATACCATCTTTTTCTAAAACAAAAAACAAAATAAATTATTCAATATAAAAACTTCTTTTTTTTTGATATACTGATATGGACGGATTGAATAAATGATATTTTCATCTTCAACTTCAATTTCTAATATCCATCCTCGTTGAAGCCAAAATGATGAAACAAATTGATCACGTTGTCCAAAATACATTGGAGTTTGATAATTTTCTTCAAAATAAGCACTATATTTAAAATAAAATTTTTCTAATTGAGGTAATTTTGTTAAAATAAAATTTTCCCATCGATTAGCATCAAGATAAGCAATATCTTCAAATATTGTTGTCAATGATAAAACTTTTATTTTTGAATTTAATTTACTAATGAATATTTCAAATACATTAAATGACATTTTTCTATATATATGAATAGAAAGATGTGTTAAATTTGGTAATATCATTGGTTTAATACGTCTAATATTTACTTTTCGATTTGTAAGACTTAAAAATTTTAAATGATGAAGATGAGGAGTATAAGATGTTATAGCAGAAAGTTCATCGAAAGCACAAGGATGTTCTATAATAAGATGTTCGATAGAACTTATTTGTTCATTAGTAGCAATTGGTAATGAGATAGTTATATTAAAATCACTGGATTCCATTGCTTTAAATTTGATATATTTTAATTTTGGTAAGTTGAAAATTAATCGATAGATATTACCAAGATCTTTTATATTAGACCATATTTCGATTGTTAATGAGAAAAGACGAGGTAAACAAGTTAATGTTGGAAGAAGTGAAATTAATACATTTGATTTAATTGCATAAAAAACAAAAGATTCAAGACAATTAAATGATGAATCAATAGTAAATGTTGAGATAATTTGATTAGTATTTTCTGATGTCCATAAATGAATTGAAAATATTTGACCTTTATTAAAATGTAAAATTTGTTGATAATTATTCATAAATATTTTTTCTGATTTTGAATCATCAAGTTTTAGTTTTAATAGAAGTGATGAAGAATTAATTAATTTTTGAAAACGATAATTAAGATTTGAAAAAGCATAATAGATTTTACAAGCATCAAGATATTCAAATATTTCATAAAACAATTCATTAGATAAATCTTCAATTGAACTTATTGACATTCTAGATGAAAATTTAATATTAGAAAAAAAGTTCTCTTTTTTGTTTTGACTATATGACTTACGTTTCTTAATTTTGAATGTAGATAATAAAAATGAAATGTTATTGAATAAGTCAATGTAGAACGAATGATCTAGAAAAATAGAATGAAATACATGCACATGTATATTTTTCGTTATTCTTTGTTAACAACAGAGAATGATTATTTTTCTTTTCTCTAAAGAATATATCTGATGAATCATGTCCACTTTTCTTGTTCATCTTAAATAATAAATAGTATGAATTAATTGTTATCCTAATTAAGTTCTTATATAGAATGATACAAGAGAAAGAGAAATTCGCATCGTCAAGATCAACACTAACGAATAAGTTACATAGAGAAGTGCACAGTGTAATCGTCATTTCCTATTAGTCATGGGACACTGAAATAAATACAAAGTTTCTTCGCCATATTAACTCCTTTTTATTAAAAGATGTGTGATTACTGAACTCTCGATCAATAAAAACATGATTCTTTTCTATTATTATCAAGTTGAATTAATATATGAAAAAAACAATTGTATACAGAAAAAGAATAAATAAGTTTTAATCTTATTAAAAAGTTTTATACAAGAACAAACATAAAAATCATTTCCATTGCAAATAAATATTTTCCATTATGCGTTTAATTGTATAATCGACTAGTAATTTTTCAATTATCTGATCATCTGCTGCTACAATACGAAAACACAATAATCGAAGTTGACAATTCGATTTTCTACTGATCTTTGTTAGAATAAGTCGTAGAAATAATTCAATATCCATATTATTGAAAAAATCTATTTTGAGATATATTATCCCTTTCCAGCCGGCTACTAGAAGACAAGTAACAAAAAAGTCTTTTTATGGATTTTCGTTGCTCCTAGGCCATGGAGATTGGAAAAGTTTATTTCTCAGAACCAATAAGTGCTTCGGCATCTAATGGCTTCATGTATCCATTTGGATACATCCGGTCACTAAGGGACAAAAATTTTGAAAAAGTCATTTCTTTTTGTCCAGTAAAATTTGATATTTTATGGTTTTTCTTACATCTATATTTGTAGATGAAATCACACGTTGCCTGTTTGTCGATGTTTTGCAGTCCAAAGCTTAAATATTTCTAAAATGTTCTAAGATTCTGCAGTATAGTGCAATAGTAGCTCAATTTTTTCCGAAAAGTTTTAGAAATTCAGAAACATTTTAAAGAGTTTCGGAACACTTTCTAGTGTTCCAAACTAGGCTATCACGAAATATTCAGCAACTCTCTACAATATTCCTGAATTTATAGAAATTTTCGAAAAAAATTGAGCTACTATTGCACTATATTGCAGAATCTTAGAACATTCTAGAAATATTTAAGCTTTGGACTGCAAAACATCGACAAACAGTCAACGTGTGATTTCATCTACAAATATAGATGTAAGAAAAACCATAAAATATCAAATTTTGCTGGACAAAAAGAAATGACTTTTTCAAAATTTTTGTCCCTTAGTGGCCGGATGTATCCATATGGATACATTCCCATTTTTTATTATTCGGATTTTTTAAATAATCCGTCTTAGTGATCCAATAGACAGTAGGTCTATGAAGGAAAATTAACAACTGCTTGCTTCGAAGTTTGATTATTTAGAGACACGAGAAAAGGATTATTTCTATACGGACGCTATTTTGGAGCATTTTGGATGGAGCCGGCCATTTTCTTAGTGAGTGTTATTTCCTTCTTCTAAACACGTGAATGTGTGTTGAAATGTGTTAACTTATTTATCAAATCGTCAAAACATTTCATATCATCACTACAAGTTACTTCTTCGTAAAACATTGGCTTCATGTATCCAAATGGATACATCCGGCTGTAAAGGGTTATATGAGAATACAAATCAATTAAAAAATAAATTTCTTCAATTTCAGACATTTTTTTGAGATAAACTTTAACAATTTAATTCTTCTTCGAAATAGCATCGACTTCTACTTCATCAATAGATAAATATTCTGATTGTGATAATGACATAGAAGAAATTTGTAATGAATCAAGTTCTCGTAATAAATATAATATTTCAATTAATGTACCATTAAAGCGATTGTTACGAATTTTCAAATGATAAATCAGTGCTACAGCTAAAATTTAAGGAACTGGTTCACTTAACAAATCAAAAACATTGTTAGTCGAAGAACTCGTAAGAGCAATTCGCATAGATTGAGAAAGTTCATTATATTGTGTATCATCTTCATACCATCGTTTTCCAAACAACAAACGATAAATTCTTCAATGTAAAAAAAAAATTCCTATTTTATATATACCCATATAGCTCGATAAAATATGTGATGTGTTCATAATCGATTTCACTTTCTGATACCCATTTTCGTCCAATCCAAAATGACGATGCTAATTGATATGATTTGCCGAGATACATTGAATTTTCATCATCAATATTAAAAAATATCTCATACTTTGAATAAAATTTCTCTAATTGAGGTAAATATTTCAAAATCAATTCTTCCCAACGATCAGCATCAAGATAAGTCATATCTTTGGCTTGACTAGTAATAGATAAAACTTTTAATTTTGAATCTAATCTACTAATAAATATTTCCAATTCATCGAATTCTTGTTTTCTTTTTATCGCGTTTCATTTGAATAGAAAGAGTCAAATATTGAGCATATCTCGAAAAATGTATCTTTTTTTTTTTGCTAAAGAAAAATCTCTTAAAAATCAACCGTTGAATAACCTATGATGCAAAGGTAATAGGACAAAGGTCGGATTCTATTTCTCTTCGATGGAATAAAACTTTTTAAACCAAAAGATAGAGCTTTTTCCCCCTCTTTTGAACCATATATAATTTATTTTTATCACACGCTTATTAACGAAGCAACGCAACAAAAAAAAGAAGAGCATCCTTAAAAAAACGTCTGCATTTTTTCTACAATATGAGAGCAGAAAATGTCGATCCCTTAATCTCTTCGATAAATGCATTACAGAAGGAATATTTTATTATCAGATGATAGAAAATTTTTTTCTCTTTCAAACTGTATAAGATTTATATATGTCATACATTCGTGAATAAAAGAAGAAGCACTTGTGCATTACGACATCGATTTGGTCACTACATAAAAGCCAAACTATTTATCGTTTTACAAAATCTTTTTAATGAGTCCCTAAAAATCGAATGAACTGTCCGCGTACAAGATGTTTTTAACAACTTTATAGAAAGATCACATATTTATTATGCAAGTGTTTCTCCTTTTATTTACCTAATTTTATTTGTGAATGGATGACATATATAATGGGTGTGGCTGAAGAGAAGAGTAACACCCACACTCTCTAGTCAGAAACTTGAAAATAATAGTTAAGAGAATTTTATCATAATTCTATTAGATTTTCAGTCAAATCCAAGAAGGATTATGCAATGATTAGACCAAAATTGGTCAAAATCTTCTACTATGAGAATATGGGTATGAGTGTCAGTGTGGCTGCATAGAAACGTATGAAGCATGCGCACATCCACACCCTCATCCTAATACCGTTAAAAATAACAACTAATATTTTACTTCTATTTTTCTTCTTTTGTGTTTGTGTTTTACTTTTGCTTCTTTCATTTATTATTTTTTACTGATTACTGTAGAATTCTCGGTCTTTCTTATTCCGACCGTCACTGGAATGAATATAGCATGTCCATTACAATTAACGATAAATTATTCTTATGCTTGATATTAAGTAGCAAACTATTCACGTATATAAAAACAAAAAAAGGTAAATAAATTGTTGGCTTATTTTGAGAAATAAAAAGAAATATTTTTTTCGTTGCACATTATAAATACATAAATATATATTTATTCATAGAATATAAATCAGATTTTGATGATGTGAATATGAATAATCGTGTCTGTGCACATACATTCACACTTATATATGATTCTTCCTACTGATTGTTGTATCAGGCATCGACAAGCGACGCCTAAACGAAATTTGATTTAAATAAATGTCAGTCTAAATTTTTCTTATTAAAGGTAAAATAATTTCTTTCACATTCAGTGGACATTCTTTCAGAATAACATATCTTACCTGGATCATTAGTAAAACGAAAAAAGGGGGAGAGAACAGACGAATGAAGCACATGAGAGAAAAATAAAGTGGTATCATATTCATTTATGGAGAAAAAAAAACAATTTTCTGTTTTTTTTTCTCTTACTATCAATACATTTGATGAGGAAAAGGTAAGTAATTAAGCGAAGAATAAGGAGACCACTCATTAGTATATTTTTTTTCTCTTGTGACTGCACGCATAATTGAAATATATTTCATGGCCGGTGTCGCGAAACTTTTTGACGAACATATTCTTGATAAATCAAACCAAGAAGTTAATCTTAATGATGAAAAATATAAAGGAAAAGTAATTGGACTTTATTTTAGTGCACATTGGTATGTTTAAGCTTTTTGCTTATGTAATACAAATAGATTTTTCTTTTGTTAGGTGTCCACCATGCCGTGGTTTTAC